GCTTTAGACTCTACAAGCTCCTCTCAACCATCGTGCCTGACCGCCCAATCAGCGAGCTAAAAGTGGAACAAGCACCCAAGGAGCTCATCTTGGCGGTCGATGTGGAGAGAGAGCCCGAAGAAGAGGAAGAAGATGCCCAACCGACGACTAATAATCCGGGGTCTACTACTCCTAGCGACCAGGCCTCCTGGTAATTCACTTTTCCTGTCTTTCAGATGTACTCTCCGAGTTGTTGAGCTCAGTTTTAATGAAAAGAACTTTTGTTGTTTTTGCTCCTCACTCTTTTTTTTTATGTACTGAACTTTTTTTATCAATAATAGAAATATATTTTTTGCCACATCTACGATTTCATCTAAGTTACTAACTTGAGTCATTTACCCAAGTATTTTCCACCTCAGTTGAGTTACTAATCCCTAACTGTTATCCCTTTTCCCCGAGCTAACTTTTTTAGTCTACCCGAGTCATCTCAACAGGTTCCCCGAGCTAACTTTTTTTGTTTAATAGTATTTTGACACAGCATCGAACTACGAGAATAAGGTTCCTAGCTCGGTCTTACTCCAAATTGAGTTGCAACAAATTTGATCGTTGAAAACTCAAAACTTTATTATAATTCCAAGTCTTTTTATACATAATACATTCTTAGGTTCATGGCGTGCCAGGTGCGTGGCATAGCTCGCCCACCTAGAGTCTATAGTTTGTAGGTCATTGAACCCCACACTTTGACAACTTTATAGGGGCCTTCCCAATTTGGACCGAGCTTTCCTACTGCTAGCTCGGGTACAATCATCTTCCTGAGGACAAGGTCTCCTACTCTGAATCTTCACTTATGAACTTGAGCATTTGTAGTACCGTGCTACTTGTTGTTGATATGTTGTTGTCCTTATGTGGGCCTGTTCCCTTATTTCTTCAATCAAATCCATGTTGTTAGATTGTCATCATTGTGGTCTTCCTCATAAGTCACGGTCCGCAATGATTGCACCTCTAACTTGGCTGGTATCACTGCTTCTATCTCGTACACCAGGTTGAAGGGTGTCTCTCCAGTGGCTATTTGACTTGTAGTTCTATATGCCCACAACACACTTGATGAGAGTTCTTCAACCCACCGTCCTTTAGCTCAATCTAGTCGGGTCTTCAATCCTTACAGTAGCGTGTAATTTGTCACCTCGACCAACCCATTGGTTTGTGGGTGGTTGACTGAGGTGAATCGTTGATGGATACCCATTTCTCTGCACTAGTTCTAAAACCCAATGTCGTCGAACTGTTTTCCATTGTACAAGACTAGGGGTGGGTTCGAGCTGAATACTTGGATATTCGAGCTCGGCTCGTTGAAACTGTGTTAGTTTTGAACTCGAACTCGAACTAGAGACTTTAGCTCGAGCTCAGCTCGATTAAAAGCTTGCAAGTTTGAACTCGGCTCGAGCTCAATTACAAGCCATGTTTTTTTTCTAAAAAATAAAAATTATACAAATAAAAATATTTTTATTTTACACACAAAAAATTAAGAATTATAAAAATTATTTATTATTAAACATAAAAGTAAAAAATATACATATAAATTTTTTTTTTATTTTACATACAACAAATAAGAATTATAAAAACTATTTACTATTATACATAAAATAAAAATAGTATATATAATAAAAATTATTTATTATATATATTTATATATTTATATGTGTATATATATGTATATGTATGTATGTATGTATGTATGTATGTATATAATAAAAATTTATTTATTTATTGTACTAGGCTTGTGAGCCTCACGAGCCGAGCTTCACTAGGCTCGAGCTTAGCTCAATTAGAAAATGACACCACATATCAAGCTCGAGCTTGGCTCAAAGCTCAGTTTAAATCGAGCCGAGCCGAGCTTTTCATGAGTAGAGCTTGAATAGCTCGTGAAAAGCTTGGCTTGTAGCCACCCCTATCCGGGACGAGCACCCATAGCAAGCCAAACCTACAAATGATGTTCTTCCAAACAAAGTTTTGTATGTTGCATGATGTGACTATGGCCAGTGGCTCAACTACTACCTATTTAGTGAAATAGTCTATAGCGACTATGAGCTACTTTCATTGCCTTGACGTTATTGGAAAGGGTCCCAATAGGTCAATTCCCCATTAGGTAAAGTGCCAAGGACTAACAAGATACTGGAGGTTGGCAACGAGCTAGCGAGGTATATTAGCATGGCGTTGGCAGCGATCACATTTCTTCACAAGGCGGAGCGCGTCTTCTTTCATGGTAAGCCAGTAATATCCTTGCTGTAGAGATTTATGAGCTAGCGGCCTACCCCAAGTATGTGCCCCACACCTTCTTCCATGAATATCCTAGAGCACACGTTACGCCTTAGAAGGTCTAAGACACCTGAAGTAGGGCAAGGTAAATGACTTTTGGTACAGTTGGTCCTTAATGACTGCATACCAAGCTAACCTCCTTTGTGTCTTTTTCGCTTGTAGCCGATCTCATGGCAAAGCTCCTATCTACAAGTAACTTAGAATTGAGTCCATCCAACTCGCTTCTATATGCACTGTTCTCTTAGAGTTGACATCTGCTAAGCCAGTAGTCTTGATAGTGCATAAGCTTGGGCATTCTGTGACCTGGGAATCTAGCGGATATAAAACTTCTCAAAATGATGAAATAATCCTTGTACTTTGACTTGATACTTGGCCATAGCCAACTACTTGGTAGGCTACCTTACTTGTCAATGGTCTTGTGGCATGTATCGCTAGGTGGTCACTTGATGGACAAGTGTTGAAATGTGGAGTTCTCCTGAAAGGGAGCTTGTCTTGACAATGAGGCTTCCTCGCGGAGGTCGGACTTACTTGTACATACTAGTTGAGTTAAGAAGCCCAAAGTGATTTTACATGTTGCCAATGTGACTCTTATTCTCCGAGGTGATGACAGGATTGCAAGTTCCAAGCTGAAGACAAGACTACAAGTCCACCTAAATGTGCCATCTATCCGATAGTTTGGAGGTCGGATTTACTCTCATCACATAGCTTGTAATCACCACCATTCCATTAGGCTATGTTTGGTTTGATAAAAAATAAGACAAACAAAAATTTGATGGATTATTGTTAAAGAATTTTGTAAAAATTGTTATCAACTTTTCCCTAACTTACTATTTCGGTCAAACCAAACATAAGCATAGAAAACCATAGTTGCAATGGAAAAGTTTTCACTCCTTGGATGAAGAACGTTCAAGGAGGTTATTATAAAGAAGTGAGGATCATATCTTGTGGGTTGATTCAGTAAATCAAAATCAGCTGTGGTCATGCACCCACCCACCAACTAACCAATTCAAATGAATCTTTTCAATCCATTTTTTATTTTTCGATTCTAGGTCTGATACTATACTAAGCTACAAATTAATTTGATAACGCTTTTAAGTTAGAATCTACAAAAGATAAAAATTGGTTTGAGGAATAGCAAATAAAGAAAATGATGAAGGTTCAAGTTTGGATATTACCTACACCAAGAAACCATCCGGATCAATGGATTAACCCCTGATTTCTATTATATCATTTCGTTCACAAGAATAGGGCCGGGTCTACATCCAAAATGATTCATTCTAATTTCAATTATTTGATTGGGCTGAATCGGAATCTGATTCCAGTCAATTACAATTTCAATTTCAATTCTTATTTGCACCAAACAGGTGGGGAAATAAACTATTATGATTTCAATTCCAATTCCAATTCCAATTGTAAATAAACAAAACCTAAAAATAAAAGAAAAATACAAAAAATTGAAACCCATTTGAAGGGATTAGATGAGTCAACAATTAATTCAAGCATCTGAATCAATGGGTCATTGGCAAGGTCGACTTTTTTAATAACGCGTAAGAGATTGATCCGAACCGGGATTGTGACCCGATCACTAGTTAAACCCCAGCTAGGACAAAACTTCAAGACGGGTTGAGACTTGAGAACAATGCTTTTGTGAACTCTGTGAAGTGTGAACCATATGGCGCAATTAATCTTTTTGGAGGGGACCATTGTATTTTGTAAGTCCAGCTCTTTATTGTAGAAATGGCATCCATGTTATGGGGGACCTACAGCATTCTATCCCTATATTAGTTCTACAGCCTAACTAGACCAAATTAAAAAAAAAAAAAAAAAAAAAAAAAAAGAAAAAGCTTTCTTTTCTCCACCACTTTTTATTAAATATTAATGGGTGCTCTATGAATATGAATTGACTGGTGGAAAGTTTCTACATCCACGACACCACCATTAAAGATGTTTGAATTTATCTCAACTGTATTGACCAGTGAAGAGGGCGTTCTAGGTGAATACTGTAGCTTAGTTGACTGCTCTAGATTGGGAATTGGGCTTTAGCCATTCTCGTTAAGGTTCTGTTTGCTGTGTAAATGTGAATCAGATACAAGTTTTATATTTGTTTGGTTATGATTTATTCTACATGATACAAAATTTGTACTCATTGACAATATAAATTTTGAATCTCAAAAATTGATGCAAAATTTATATCATCTTTCTCCTACCTCAATTCTCTTTCAGACAAAGTGGGAATCACATCATCCTACTTCTCACCACACTCCCACAGAAATAACCTCCTCCTACCTTGGTTCTTTTTCATAGAAGGTGGGACTGACCCTACCATTTTACTTCCCACAAACAAAAGAGACATATATCAAATGTAAACCAGAATTTACATGATCAATCTATTTGCATGAAATTTGCACTCCAACCAAACACAGCCTAAGAGCCATTACTTGGTCAATGGTAAAACCTTGGGCTGGCAAGCATTGGAGCGTGGGTTCAAGTCTGACAGCAACCACACTGTGAAAAAACAAAAAGGATTAGGACTGTATCTGGTGCACCCCTCTCAAAACCCTAAATTGTGGGGACCAACAATGGGAAATGAGTCAAATGACCACTCTAGCCACTCTGATTGCCACAACCCTCAACCCTACCAATCTGGGATGGGATAAAGATGAAAGGGTTGGACTCTAACCAGTCCCATTGCCCCAATATATATTTACAACATCAACCATCTTGTTGTGACTTGCGAGAAGTTCATAAATTTTGTTTCAGAGAAAAAACAGTTTCAGACTGCTAAATGGGTTCCCTATGTTTCCAAGCATCAGCAGGTGTCCCATACTAAACCTAGGTAAGGGAATTCAGTTTTCTCTTAGACTGTGTTTGGTTTGAAGAAAAAAAATAGGGAAAGAAAAGGAAAGGCAGAGAAATATTTATAAACCTTGTATAGGTTTTCATATCTCTCCCTACCTTTCTTTCAAATCAAACCACACGACCATAAGAAATTAGCTAAAATAACTGTTGAAAAAGAAAACTTTCATGCTTCAATAGTTCGAAGTATGGATTTAAATCCAAGAAATCTTGATTTCGTATCTTAGATCTCAAATAAAATGTTTTGAAATTTTAGAATTTTGGACAACTTGTAGTATTTTAATTATAAATAGTACTTCTATTATTTCATATTTATATTTTCGATTTATTTTTTTATCCCATCTGAAATTTTGGATGAAATAGACCAAATACTAAAATTTCGGTGAAAATAAATTCACTCGAAAACATGTTTTTATAATCCAAGTCATTTATAACCTCAAATTAATAAATTCCAAATAACGTAAATTTGTAGTGTCGTAAATACAAAAAGGCACAAAAATGAGAAAATGGATGCAAAATCCGTTAGCATCTAATATCTACATGTACAAGTAGCAGAACCAAACAATTGGTTGTCCTGATTTCTCAAAGACAGTTTTGCCTATCAAATCATCCATTGATTGATTGATTCTCCTAAAAAAATTATGCTTTAGTCTCTGTTTGTTTGCAATGCAAATATGAACCGGATACAAATTTTTTTGTTCATTTTTTGCAACTATAATTTGGATTGTTATTTGATGCAAAATTTGCACTTATTTATCTCATTTGCATCAATTGGCATTGCAAGTTTTGCATCTAAGAAGCTGATGCAAAATTTGTACCCTTTCGTACCGCAGTCGAATCTCTCTTCCACGATTCTCTCCTGAACTCCGACATGAGCATCGTCGAAGAAGAACTCCGTACAAATCTCGTGTTTTCCGACAGCCGAAGGTAGGTTCATCCCTCACAAAGATGTCAGCTTTCCTCACCTCAACGACCAACATCTTCACGCGCCGCCCGGCAATGGAACTGCCAAGTACCTGGGCTACTTAAACCTAAACGGCAGCGGGGATCAAAATGGGAAGCTCGAATCGACGTTCTCGAACGAATTGCGTGGCGATCCCCAGTTCCTGGTCGAATCCGAGCCGTCTGATCCCGCGTTGTATGCGAAGGAGGCTATCGAGCAGTAAGTTCTGCTTGTTTTTCTACGGAGGAAATATTTCAGGAATCGGAGACGCGTTGCAGATCAGTTGCGTGTCGGTGGTGATTACGGAGCGTCCGATTCTGGATCTTCCGTTCATGGACGTGCTGAGATGGTCGGAGACCACGGTGTTTGTGGGGGCGGGAGGAGGGGTTGAGGGGATGAAGAAGCAACTGGATCGCACGTGCAAGAGAGAGAGAGACACGAGAGAATGAAGAATCTAGCCATGGTGGCGAGTCAGCATTTTGTTTGGAATTCGTCCCCGCAGCCGAACGATGCCTTCCACACGGTCATGTATCAGCTGTGGCTGAGACGGCATACGATTAGGTATGCGAGATGGGAATCGATTTGACGAGGGTGATTTGATTTGAACAGTAAATGTATGTATTTGGATTATGAACAGAAAGATAGATGTTTCCAATAAATGTAAACATATTTCAACTTGATTATCTTCTCTCCATTAAAGGTTCTTATTTCTTGGTGTTTGAGCATCAAAAACAGCTTAGACAAATTGAGACGGAACGGAAGCACTTCTTTGGTATTTTGTTGAATTGGATAAGGCTTGAGAATGTTTGGCATCGATGCAACACACAGCATTCAGCACACAACAAACAACTCTCTTGAAGCAGCAATCTCACCCCACCTAATAAACCTTACAATTAATCATCTTATTCCAGCACACAGCATCCCTTTCAAATGTCATTGCTTTGAATAGACTAAATGCTGTCCAAGCCACCGCATCTCTACCCCATCTTCGGGAAAGAAAGTTTTGAAACCATGGTGAAAATACACTCTGGGTTGAGACTATGAAATAGGATTAGGCGCTTAAGGAAACTTCGGTTAAAAAAATGTTTACCAGGTCGATTCATCATTCAGGGTCAGTTTACTCATAAAATATGCATTTAGGTTAACTTGGGTCATTGAACTTTAATGGTGTTCTATGTTGTAACGGATGATGAGTTTTAGAAAATAAGATCTCACTGACATGGTGAGTTTTGTGCGTTTTAAAAAGTGATGGTGAGTTTAAGAAAATTCATAAAAAGTGATGATGGGTTTTGAACAATTTCCCTTCTTGTAAATACAAGCAACTTTATGTACAAACTCCTTAATTTTGAATTTACTAACAATCTTTAAAACTTCCCATAACTTTAAATACCTCCAATTAAGGTCTCTCATATTCGAAAAGTGAGAAGTTTCATTAAGGCTCGGTTTGGAAGGAATACAAATACGAACATGTACAGTGCAAATACATACAAAATATAAAATTTTACACTCTACAAATTTGCATTTGTGCTCCTTACAAACCGAGACTAAATGACAAAAGGAAATTGCAAAATTATTGTAAACGGCCAAAGTGCCACCAATGTGTAGGTAAGGACACACCTGAACCAACAAAATGCATGACTATGAAGGCATATCAATATTAAGCCTTCGGCATCCCAACTCCTTAATAACTCAGTTTAAAGTTTTTATTTTGGCACACCAATGGAAAGCCAAATGAATATATTCAGAGTTACTTTACAGTAAACTCTGAATAATTTGACCAACAAAAAATAGATCATATGGTGCTAATTCCATGACCAGAGAGAGACTTGATGTGTTGTTTAGCATTGCCACTTTTGCTTGCATGTTTTAGGTTGTTCAATACAATGTTTTGAGAAATGATCTTGTCACATTACATCGGATAACCATTTATGTTAAAAGAAATATAGGCATTGGATTGGATGATGGCATTTCTGATAGCAACATCAAAATTGACATTTATAGTAGAAACACCAAACAGCAATGGTACAAAATGTTGTATCAATAACTCAAAGCATTTGTGGTAGGAAAAAACATATTCTCCTAAAACTTGCATTGACCAACCTAAAGCGTTGCAATTAGAAGTGACAATGATACCAAACACAACCTAAATCATCCCTTACTACTTCAACCCATGACTTCTTTCCTTTACCCTAGCCCTTTTCACTCCTTTAACTTGCAATAGATTGCTTCTTACAGGTGCTGGAGATGGCCTTCTAGGGAGCTAAGGCTTTGACCCTTTGGGACAGGTTTTACAGTCCCTTGGATCCTTTGGTATTGGTGGAAAGAAGTGTAGCCACTATTAGACTCTTTGAGTGCCTTCCTACACCTGTGCAAATTCTTTTTGTAGATGATGGTTTAGGTATACATCTCTTTCATTCGTTCTTAATTTGAGGTATTTACCCATTCTAGGTTTTTTTTTTTGGAATTATTTTAATAAAATTTCCTACCCTCCAGGATGTTGGGGGTCAAAACCTTTGTCTGGTAAGAATGGTTTGACTTCCCAGGTCAGCAGGTCACTGATCAAGTCTATGGTTTTTAGCAAAAAACAGTTCAGGGGTGAAACGAAACCAACTGCCTGGATAGGACCAAACAGTCCAACCATCCAGGTCAGCAATGGTTCAAAAACCATGATGTACATGATCAATGGTACACCACTTTAAATATTACACTCATTATTTGGAAAAGTATTGTTAAAGTGTACAATGGTCTTAGGGTGCAATAGTTACAGCCTAAGGTGGCGTTTGATAAATCTAAAAAGTTAAAAAGATATTAAGTGTCTAAAATCTGAAAAGAGACATAGTTGTTTTTCGACTTTTTAGAGGCTCTCAATAAAGAAGGTTGTTTGTATTGGATTAAACGTTTAGCATCTCAAATTCATTGATTTTACTATTTTACCCCTAAAATAGACTATTTAGTAATTTTGAGTTCAATTTGCATGATTTCATAAAAAATAATTTATTAAGTTCAAAATAATATTGAAAAATATGAGTAAATTATAAAAATAAAAAATAATTTATTAAAATAAGAATAAAAATTGAAAAATATATATAAATTTATAAATTATTATGAGTTAAAATACTAATGAAAATAGTAAAAAAGACCATGAAGAAAAATAATAATAATTATTAAATTAATATCTTAAAACTATTAAAAGGAAGGAAGAAAGAAGAGGAGGAAAAGATAACGAAGAAGAAGAGAAAAAAGGATTACCAAATAAGGAAAGAAGAAGATGAATGAATGAATGAATGAAAGAAATAAGGAAAGAACATAACGAAGATGAAGGATTACCATTGGTGCATGGGTTTCATAGTTTGAGATTCAATAGTGAGTGTCATTTCGCTCAAAAAGCTAAAAGGCCAAAGCCTAAAGGTTTTTTTATTTTTTTTTTTTCTGACTTTGGGATTTTGGCCCTTAAGTAACTGGCTTTTTGGACTTTGGTTTTTAGAAGTAGACATTACCAAATAAACAAAGCAAACTTTTGGAAGCCCAAAAGTCTGAAGGTAAAAATTTATCCAAACAGCGCCTTAGACACTTAAGCACCCAATAAAAAGAATGTACAAACCAATTAAACTAAAGCCTAAAAAGTAAATTTCTGAAACCTCCCCTAAAGTTTTGGACCATTGCTAAAACCTCCCTAACGTTTACTAACTGCAATCACCTACCCTGAAATTTATGACACATTTGCAAGTAAATCCCCTTTGTTAGAATCCTCTAAAAAGAGGCATGAAAATATCCAAAATACCCACACAATTACTATTGAGGCTAAGTTTATATAGAAAAAAAAAAAACAATACAAGCTTTAAGAATATTAAAAAAAAGTGAGAATTTAAAGTTGCTGAGCGATTGATATCAAAGGCAATTTTGAAAAATAAATCAATTTCATAAAAGAGATTGGAAGGGTTTGGAGTAAGATTCATATGTAGAGAAAATTTGAAAAATAAACATTTTGATCAAAAGTAATTGTATGAGTATTTTGGACACTTTCATGCCTCTAAAAAATTCCAACAGGGGTTCTTCTTACAATTACGTCTAAAAGTTCAGGGGAGGTGATTGCAATTAATAAACTTGAGGGGAGGTTTCAGCAACAACCAGAAGCTTCAGGCAACATAGTTTAACTTAGGGGGTGGGCAAATGGGTAGGTTCTACCCGGAACTGAATGGAACTGACCTTGAACCGGCCTTGAACTAACCTTTACCCAAGGGTAGGATCTGGTTTCGAATTCTTGGAACCAACCCCCACCCAGGCTTGTTCCAAGTCTAGGGGTTTATTGTACCTGAATTGGCCTTGAAACCGAACTTGACGTAAAATAAACCACAAAATACTTTTGGGAATGTGAAAATTTGAACCCAAGCACTCATGGTTATAAAAGGCCATGGTCTAATTTGACCATTGAGTTACTTTAAGTGATTTGATCATTTGTTTACATGTTAATATTTGAATGTGTATAGTAACTAGTAAGTAATGCAAAATGTAATATTTACAAAATTTAAATTTAAATAAGTTTTGAACCATATAATGATAGCCTACATATTAACTTACTCAATTTAATCAATAAAGATAATATAAGTTTTAAACTATATATATCATATGTATTGAAAATCAAATTTTTAAAGAACATGTTTTTTTTTTTTCAAGGGGAGAGTAAACAAAGAACAGGTCCCACGAATAGACCCTGGAAGTAACCCTGGAACCAACAAGGCCAAAACCAACCTTGAAACTGACCTTCACAAGGTAGGTTCCAGGTTCTACCTTGGAACCAAACCAAACCGACTCATGCTCAACCCTAATTTAACCAAAAAGGAAATTTTAGAAATGTATTCCTGACAAATGGAATCATATTAGTGTCAATGTTACAAGAGTACAAAGTTGAATTCAAACTAAAATTGAACTAACAAAGTAGCAGGTAATAGGGTTGCAAATTGTATTCATTTGTAATTTGATCCACTTAACTGTCATTCCGGTAGCACTGAATCGACTGTCGAATGCTGAAATTGCACCTTTGAATCAACAGTCTGAACACGAAAAGAGTGTGAATTTTTTTCATAGTTGTCTCCGAGCGCTTTTGGAGGTAACAGATAAAAATTCATTTACAATCATGCCCCTTATAAAGTTGGATCAAATATGAATCTATCCCTTTCCAATCCAATATAATCTAATTTTATATGATTAAAAAATATATACACTTTTTCAAAGTAATCAACATGAAAAATATTCATTTAAAGTTTATCTCAGTGTTTTTGAACCATCACTAACCTGGACGGTCAGACTGTTCAGCCAGAAAACCATATAGTCAATTGGTTCTGTTTCACCTTTACTTGTTTTTTGGCCCAAAACTGTTGACTTGGTCAGTAATTTATTGACTCAAGCAGTTGAATCAAGGTTTTTAAAACTGACCCGGAGACCGAATCGGTCAAGAGTTTAGTTTTTGGGTCGAACGGTCAGCCCATTCTGATAAAAAAATTAAAAAATTAAAAATTGTCAAAACCATTGAATGGTTCGAATAGTTTGACCGCTTGAGTCAATGGTTTGCTGACCAAGTCAATATTTTTTTGCAAATATCCGATTTTGGGGAAAAATGGAATCGATTCCTGATTTTTCGGTCTGACCATCCAATTCGGTCTGGTTTTGAAAACCATAGGTTGAATAATCGACCCATTCCACCTGGACTATAGTTTTTGGCTATTTTATTTTAATTTTTTTATTTTTTTTAATTTGAAATGAACTATCTATTCAAACTAGACGGTTGAACCACTGACTAAGAAACCAATGGCCGTGGTTCCGGTTCGACCTCGGTTTATCTTATTTGATTATATCTATTAACAAATTTTTTTTTGAGTGTCATACTTTTACTAATCCATTTTTTGCATGTAAATCTGAATTGGATGTGAATTTTCCACTCACTCCAGGTTTGTATCTGTTTGTTGTAATTATGATTTGTATTAACCAAAATTTGCATTTCTCTCTTTCATTTGCACTCATCGACATGCATCTAATGCAAAACTTTACCACCTTCCTTTGTTTGTCCTACATATAGAATGAGGACCACATTTTACTTTCCACTACCTCTCGTCTCAAACCTATTTCATATAAAATGGGAGCCACATCATTTTATTTCTCACAAACAAACAACACAGTCAAATCTCAAGAAAAAGCAACTCAAAATTTACATTATGATTTTACACCAGTGTAAATGAACCGCAAAACAACGGAGCCTAAGAGATACAACTACAAGTACAATAAAGTGTAAGACAAATTATTTTCAATTAATATTGTTGATCCAAATTCGATTCGAATCCAACGTATGAGATTTGGTTCGTGACACCCACCATGAAAAGGACCCACAGTGGAGACCAATTGCACCAGGAAAGCAACCTCAAAAAACTCCGGTGTCCGTTCGAATCGAAGGCTGCTGACACGATACCGGTCCGACGGTCTTCATATTCATAGTTCATCCTCGGTCAACAACCATGTGAATGGAGCTCAGATTTCACTCCAGTCTTCAGCGATAGTTTCACACTCCACGCATGAAGCATGATAAGCCTAACCCCTTCTAACCCTCTTAAATGAGTGAAAGATCAGCCTCACCGGTGGATTCATGAGTCATCAATGGAGCTTTGGACCTCTGGTCCCACAGCTAATGAAGCCAAACTCTTAGCGTGTGAACACAACACCAGAAATATTAAACACGCAGCTGTAAAATCCATTTTCTTCCACTGATTTTTATCAAAAGCGAGTCAATAATTTGTCGTTATGGTCAGTGATGGCATCACTTGGCTTGAAAATGGCATTTCGTGTTTGACCCGAACCGTCGTTTCTTCATCACAAACAGTCGAATCAGTGAAGGATAGAAGAAGAAAAACCAATCTGGAGTGGTTGTTTTATATAGTGATCTCTCTTTCTGCGTCTTTGTGGTTATTGGGTTTGGCCCCATTTTTTTACTGTTTTGCAGGCTTTGATTTTTTCAAACAAAGACTCGACTTTTGGATTTTTTGGGGGGTCTTTGCGCCCCAAAAGTCTTCGTGCTGAAGAGCGTTGTTTCGTCGTTGTTTCGACCACAACTCTGTGGGGGGGTTACTTTGAGCGTGTTCTGTTAGGTTCTGGGGGTGAGTGTTCTTGGTCTCCTCACTGTCATGGAATGGAAATTGCAGGTCAGTTTCTGAACTTAATGTGTTTGACTTAATTATCTTCCGATTTTTTTTCCATCTGGGTCTCTTTGAATCTCCTTGGTTTTTGATGGGTGAGTGAGGGAGTTCAATTGAGTCCTCGAGTTCTTGGGGTTCGAGGAGGGGAGGGGCGTTGGGAATCTATGGTTTGGAGGTCAGAGTCTGTAATTCAGGGGTTGATGTGGTTTTTCTGATCTAGACATGTTTTAATTTTGGGTGTTTTCCGTGGATCGTAGTGATAAGGAGTCGAATTGCTTTGTTCTGATCTCTTTCTCTCCTCCTCTTTCCCCCCTCTCTCTTTTTATGTAATCTGAATTTTCAGCGGGTTTCTGTCTACAATTGATCTATATCGTGGATTGAAGGCTTGTTCTTTGTATTGAATAAAGCCGTGGACTAGTGGTTGTTGGGCTTGTTCTTCTCTTTCCAGTATTTGAATGTATTTCTACTCGTGAGAATATTTTGAAGAAAAAACAATAAGGGATTTTTGATGGATCTTTATGTGTTGATGACCATGAATATCAATGTTCTGGCTGTTCTTTGCTTTGCTTTTTTCTGGTTGTTGCTGAGTGCTAGTGTAATCCATGGTACCGAGACTGATATTTACTGCTTGAAAACCCTAAAAGATTCACTAAAAGACCCCTTCGGCTACTTAAACACTTCATGGAATTTCGCCAACAAAACAGAAGGATTCATATGTAAATTTACTGGGATCGATTGTTGGCACCCCGACGAGAGTAAGGTCCTAAACATCCGCCTCTCAGACATGGGACTCAAAGGCCAGTTCCCCAAGGGTATTGAGAACTGCACTAGCTTGACAGGTTTAGATCTTTCCAGCAACAATCTCTCTGGACCCATTCCATTGGATATCTCTAAAAGGCTCCCTTTTGTAACCACCCTTGATCTCTCCTCAAACGATTTCAGTGGTCCGATCCCAGTAAGTCTTGCGAACTGTACCTATTTGAACTCCCTCAAACTCGACAACAACCAATTAACAGGGAGTATCCCGCTTGAATTCAGTGGGCTCAATCGGCTCAAGACATTTAGTGTCTCCAACAATCGCTTATCCGGACCTATCCCTCACTTTTCTAGCCCCAATTCTACTATTTTAGCAGATAACTTTGCGAATAATCTGGGACTCTGTGGACCTCCTTTGGATAATGATTGCATTGGAGCTCCTAAGAAATCACATGGTGCAGTTATCATCGGATCGGCAGTTGCTGGAGTGGTTGTTACACTTTTAGTAGTTTCTGTTGTTCTCTACTTCTGGATGCGCAGAGTGTCTATAAAGAAGAAGGAAGAAGACCTTGAAGGAAACAGATGGGCGAAGAATATCAAGGGAACAAAGGGTATCAAGGTAAGCTGATTTAATCAATCCCTTCCCCAATTATTGTTTTTTCTTATTTATTTTTTCCCTGTTCCTACTTTTAGCCACAAAGTTCTAAAAAAGAAAGTACTCTGTTTTCTAGGTTTCTATGTTTGAGAAGTCAGTTTCAAAAATGAGGTTGAGTGATCTCATGAAGGCTACTAACAGTTTCAGCAAAGACAACATCATTGGCTCAGGAAGAACAGGGACAATGTACAAGGCATCGCTCCCGGATGGTTCTTCACTTATGGTGAAGAGATTACAAGACACTCAACATTCAGAGAAGCAATTCATATCTGAAATGTCTACCTTGGGGAGTGTAAAGCATCGTAATTTGGTTCCGCTTTTGGGCTTCTGCACGGCAAAGAAAGAGAGGTTTCTGGTATATAAGCATATGCCAAATGGGAACCTCCATGATAAATTGCATCTCGTGGAGGCTGAAGCCAAGCCCATGGAATGGTCACTAAGACTAAAGATTGGGATAGGAGCAGCCAGAGGTCTGGCATGGCTCCACCATAGCTGCAACCCCCGCATTATTCATCGAAACATAAGTTCCAAATGCATCTTATTGGATGAAGATTTTGAGCCAAAAATATCCAATTTTGGACTTGCAAGGCTCATGAACCCTGTTGATACACACTTGAGTACTTTTGTGAATGGAGATTTTGGGGACTTGGGTTATGTTGCTCCTGAGTATACCCGAACACTGATGGCTACTCCTAAGGGAGATGTTTACAGCTTTGGAATTGTGCTTCTTGAGTTGGTCACAGGTGAGAGACCTACCCACGTGTCAAATGCTCCTGAAGGCTTCAAGGGGAATTTGGCTGAGTGGGTGACACATCTGTCAAGCAACTCTAATCTCCATGATGCCATTGATAAGTCTTTGGTTGGAAATGGTTTTGATGGTGAGCTCCTCCAGTTTCTTAAAGTTGCTTGTAATTGCATAGTGCCAACTGCAAAGGAGAGGCCTACTATGTTTGAAGTATACCAGCTTCTAAGAGCTATTGGGGAGAGATACAATTTCACAGTTGATGATGAGATTTTGGTGCCATCTGACTCTGGTGACGCTGACATCCCTGATGAACTTATTGTTGCTCGAAATGAAGAACCACTAAAAACCTACAAGTAAAATGTGGTACAATATTTTAACAGAAGAACTACAAGAAATCTTTAATGTTTGTACTTGAATAGAATGGTTCTATTTATAGAATTTTGGTTTTCAATTTAGCTGTTCTATGTTGGAAGCTCATCTGTGTATGTTGTATTTCCCATGTAATTGAAGAATTATCCCTTACCTCTGTCTGTCTTTCTTTCTGTTTATTGAATTATAGATGGAATCTGGAATAGATAGGATTTTATTGTAGCTTTAAAATCCAACTTATTGTTTCTCAAGAAATGAGAACCAATGAAAAGTCACAAGTTAAATGCGGTTCAAGATTTTAATGGGTTTTACTACATTTGATCTGTAAATTATGTAGTTGTACACTTTTTGAATGGAATTCTTATTTCACTTATATTGATAAAAAAAATATTCTTATTTCACTTACATTTATGGATGTATATTTATTTGCTGTAACCTTTATATATTGGAAACCTGCTTGTATTTGTTATGTTTACCACTCTAAGTATCATAAATTTATCCATTGTCTTCTAAGCATGTTCTGTTTGGTAATACCTTTCTTTCCATTTATGTAATTTCACATGGGTGGAGTTTTTTTCTGCCTTTGGTGCTTAAATCTGTATCCAAAGAATGTTTTTTCATGCCAGCAAGTTGTTACTTGCATTTCCATGTGCTATATGGTATTCATCATGTTCACCACTGTCAATTATTGGTTAAATGTTCAATGGTTCAGTATTTATGCTGTTGCCAATGTTTTACATTGACTTCATGTTCTTTAAGATGGTATGAGTGAAAACATGATGCATGGATGGATAGGGATTCGGTAATGGACTTCATTTCTATGTTTGTGATATTCAAGGTATCAATGTGAAGTTCGCAGCAAAAACCAGAACCAATTTCATGTGCCTAAACATGATTTTAGAGAATAAAACTTTGCAGCTGGAATTATTCATTGGACTTGTAGAAACCACACATAAATAAATCATAACTCCTGGTCTGGTTGGCCTTTTGTCAAATCATACCTATCTCATATTTTGAGTCTTCTGTGTTCCAAAATTACACTTCCATTCATGATTCTTATTCAATTTTCCAAGATACTCATCAATTCCTTTCAAAGAAGCAACTATCGGGAATTCAGGATTGACTGCTTGTTTTGGCCATAGAGTCCAGTGAGTGGATTTGGGTTTTTACCCCATGTCTGCATCATCTGTGTTCATTGAATTCATAATGAAAGAAAGGGTAAATAAATGGTACATATACTTTTTCATTGTTAAGACTTGGTTATCTTAATTCTGAGCCAGAACTTTGATAGGCAGAGGTCGAATTTTAGGTGGCATGGCTTCTAGGAGAACAGACTACATCTTACTTAAGTTTCGATGCTCAAAAAAATCCAAACCCTAAAGACTTCGGTTTTTTCCCCTCTCCAAGTAATAGTTATCTATGTTCATACTCTTTGTATAGAACATTGATTCTGAGTGTGCCAAATTGTCCAAGCCAAGCTTTTAGTTCCCAACACCTGGAATTTATGTCCTGTCTGTTTCCCTTTTAAATATGGACTCTTATGAATTTGGTTTGAATTTTCAAATTTTTTAAATTGTGGAATAGATTCAATAGCAAATATCTGTTTGCTTCTCATATGGTTATCATTTAAACAACCCACTTCTTCAAATATTCTCAGATTGATTGAACCTTGCCGAGGCGTTTCTCATTGGTTTTTTTCCTGGGTAACGCAACCTTGAGAAGAAGAACAAAATGGACAACTGAATTAGGGACGAAGCTCCTCAGAGAAAGATCTGAGGAGAGTAAAAATTTTGTAAAAATTAAATGATCAGGACACCCAGTTATTATTTTTTTTAGAAACCCCCATCAATCTCAGAAGGCATTCCTCCTGTTACCAGAACCTTTCCTCAATGTTTGTCTCTCTGTTATTTTTAATTAAACTAAACACAGCCAGTGAATCCTGACTTCTGAGATAGTTGAAGTAAAAGAAATTGATCGAGAGAAGGGTGGGGATTTTATGGGTGGAACAAAGTTAAACATGCATATATGTTGCATACTTGCATATATCCTTTAGTCACTCTCCTGATAACCCAGTTCAGGGCTGCAAGTCAGGGTTATGTCAGGTTGGGGTCAACCCTAATCCAACCAAGTTGTTAATGCCGTTCGGGTTGATTGAGATTCTTATATAACAGGGATTTTTCACTTAATTTTACTAAGATCAGCAGATTAAGGTTCACTGACTTTAGGAGTACTAGTATGCATGCATACATAACATATTTATATAATGTTTATACATACAAATATGAAGACACGCTGGGGTGGACAAGGCCTCAACTCTAACCCGATCTGAAGTTAGGGTTCATATTTTTTAACCCTAGCCTAACCCGATATCAATTGAACCCTAATGCCCTAATCTAGTTGAAACTAAGAATTTGGAGCACATGGGGAACCACTAGAGAGTAGGATTTATAAAAAGAGTGCACATCTTGTTCTTACTTCTTACTTTCTTAGTGCTGACTGTATTTCTTTCCATTTGAAATCGCAAATTTGTAAATTAAAGAGGACAGAAATTCATGTTCCTTTGATGGGCATTAAATTATGGGCTTTTGGATTGCCGTACTCGTTTCAAATAGAGTAGCCTTGGATATTGGTTTATTGACCGAGATGCCATAACTTTTTTTTCCTGGCCAGACCTTTAAGCTATGTTTGGTTTAAGGAAAAAGCAGGGAAAGGAAGGGAAATGTAGAGAAACCGTTACAAACTTTGTATAGGTTTCCCTGCCTTTTCCTTCCTTTTTTTACTTTTTCCTTCAAATCAAACACAACCTTAGTTGATTTGCTCCAGCATAAAGGCGGATTCTATTCTCACAACCACCGACTTTGTGGAGAGGTATTATTAGTGTGGTGTGTGACTCCGGATCTCCTGCCTACGAGAACTCTGTCCACGCCTACCCACAATGCACTGCCCCCCGTGAATTGGGAACATTTCCCCCTTCATAATACTATGCAGAGGATGAGATATTCTTCATGTATGATTGAGATAAACGTGAGTAGAGTTCTCGGGGCAAGAGACATGATCTGTCACGATGGAATATATTTTGTTGGGAACGGGTCAGGGTTCAATTATAATGCTTCACACCAGTCAGAAGTTACGGGCCATATACACTTTATGTCTAGTGTGGGATGTTTTGATTGGTCCACAGCCCATAACACAGTTATCAAGTTCAGATAATCCGCTCTGGAATGAGTAGTTGCAACCTGGGAACCTAAATTTTCCATGTGAACCGTGATGCGTATTGAGAGAATCAGGCTGATGATTTGCCCACTGATTCATATGCATAATTGCATATAGTAACAACCATTGGAAAGCTTATCAGATGTTTGATTTTCCTTTTTTTTTCTGACATTCTAAGGTAGTTTCTCCAACGTGAATTTTTTGTTTCTTAAAACAAAAACATGGAAAACATGTTTTTATTGTAAATGTGTTGTTGTCTCTATTCTCTAAAACTAAAACAAAAGGTATCTTCTTGAATTTCTGCTTTGGAAGCATGTTTTTTGATGATTTTAAAAACATGAATTGTTTTTTGAAATAAAACCAACTTGTTTTTGCTTCTCAAAACAAAACATTGTTCAAGAATATGATTTTGTTTTGTCTTTTTTTTTCTTTTTCTTTTTTCAAATGTGGTAACTTGAAAAATAAATGAAAACAAAAACATTATGTTGTAGGATACCTCCTAATTCCTAAATGGTTTGAATCAATATTATTTCTTTTAAAATAAAAGGAAAACAACTAAACCCTGGAAATGGAAACTGAAAAAAGAAATTAATTTTTTTACAAGGCAATGAGGCATGTATGGATACTTCTGGAATGTTGCCACATTCAAGATGCCGAAATTTGATTTTTTTAATAAATTAAAGGGCTAAAGACAGTTCAGCCCAGGGTCAGAATTCATAGGCACAAAGTACAGTTGAGGTAGGTGCCAGCTCAGAATTGATGCCAATTCATAGGTGGATATGGATGCATAGAATGTGGTTTTTGGACCTTTTGAATGTTTATAGATTTGTAGTGTAAATCAGAAATCTGCATTAAGCTTGTTTGTACTTTTCCATAAATTAAATGTGTTAAAAAAGAGTATTATACCTTGGAGGCTCTGGATACGTAATTTTTTCATATCCAGTATATTGATACTCTCTACCAAAATAAAATAAAAAAGAAAAAAAAAAAAACATAAAACACAAAAGAAACAAGCATATCAATATTTTGAAGGGTGAAATACAAAAACCTCCCCTGAACTTTCTGATAATCATAATAACCATTCTTGTAGTTTTACTTTAGCAAAAACCTCCCCGTTATTTTTAAAAAATTAACAAAAACCACCCTTCCATCAATAATCATGATGGAAAACGTTAAACCCATGATCAAATCTTTTCAAATACCTATTTTACCCTTTCATACGTTAATGATTTTCCTAATCCTACTGAAACTGACTATCATTTCCGTTTATCTAACTATAAAATAGGCCTGCCTCCATCTTAAAACCGGAAGAATCATCTGGGTTTGCTGTAGAAGGCTCCGCAAATGAAGAACAACATCGGCAGCAACCCGTGTTCGTGGTTCCAGTCAATCTGTCGACAAGTTTGCAATTCATTGGAAATCTGTCCAACGGGAGTGAGAGCCATACATCGATGCAAGAGTTGTGACAAGACAGTTCCTACATATATCTCATCGGAAACTAGGTGTTCTAACCCATAAAGCTAAAATGTCAAATTAAAGAAACTTAAAAAGGAAGTATTTATCTTACAAAATCATTAATTTAAAAATCAGTCAAAATTCCAAAAGATGTATCACAGTCAAGTTTTTCACCACAACCATTTTTTTAAGAAAAAAAAGGGAATTACAGAACAAAAAATTGTTCTTCCTTCTCCAATCATCCAATTCCCACCCCAATCACACTGATATTTTACAATATCTTAGAATTTTAACACCCCCAATCCCCAGAAAAGAAGAAAAACAAAAATAAAGAGAGACAGACAAAGAGAAAGAGATAGAAGCTACTACCAATAGTGAGATCACAGAGTTTGTGATTCACTTCGATCGGTAATAGGAGTTCAGATTGGCATCAGTGTGATCACACAATTGGTGATGCACTCAGAGTGGTGCTGGGAGTGCTAGCACCATGAACCTGTCGGCTTCTTCGACGGATCATCGTCATGGTAGACGTATGCGAAGCCATCGTGCTAGGTCAAATCCATTCCAGCCATCTCATCCTCACCAAATATCCTCAACAAATTCAATAACGCATAGAACAGATGACCCATGGTGG